CCTAATCGCACTCGGGTCCCAAATAGATGGTATTTTATTTTTATCACCTCCAGCTGTTAACCACAGTTTTTCAAACTCTTTTTCCATCCCCTCTTCTTTCACTACTGATCTTATTACATTGTCCGAAGACTGCGCAATCCTGTGTAGTCTTCGAGCTTGTATACTGGGGATCAAACACGAGAGTCTAGTGATGCCTAAACCTCCATCCTGTGTACTGGAATACAGGATGGCATCGCAGGTACTAGGAGGTAGATGTAACCACTCCTTGACCGTAGTTCGAATCGTCAGGACAAGTTCTTCTAGGTACGTTGCTTTTACATCAGCTTGGTCTGCTAAGTAAATCAATCGCGGGATAGTATATCCCTTCAAGATGTCAACTTTCTGAAATGGTTTCAGTGGCGCTTCTCCAATCCGTTGTAACCAATCTCTTACTTTCATTAGTAGTTTGGGTTTCGATATTCCAGTCCATGGGTCTATTCTCAGTCCCAGGTATTTTTCCGAACTACCGGGTTCAATCATATTAAGTGGGGCACCGTTAATTTGCCATGGAGGACAATCGTTGATCGTATACGAGTCCTTAGTAGGTTGTATGTAAAAGCCATGGCATTTCTCCCCCTGAGTCCTGAGGCCAGTAAGATTGCAAAAGGCCTCGAGGATTTTGATATTACTTTGCATTCCTTCCCATGATCCACTTAACAATACCAGATCGTCTGCAAAAGCCATAGATGTTACACATTTTGAACCATGATGGTATCGCCTTCCTCTAACTTACACAACAGGGGGTCCACAGATAAGTTAAATAGTAAAGGTGACATTGGATCGCCTTGTTTAACACCAATTTGAATCCCGATGGGATCCGACTGTTCATTCTTCATGGCAATGCGAGTTCTAGTGTTTTGATACATGTTCGTAATCAGGGTGATAATCTGATGGTTCACACCCTTTCGCTTAAGCACTGCAATAAGATGATAATGACTTACTGTGTCGAAGGCTTTAGCCAGGTCAATGAAGACAACGCCCAAGGGTCGATGTTCCTTTTTTGCGTTCTTAATCAATAGTTGTAATAGCTTCAGATTTTCCGCACATCCCACTGATCTAATAAAGCCCTTTTGTTGCGGATTAATAGGGCATGCCTTTGCCAGTCTTGCCGTCAAGATCCTTGAGAATAACCTCAAGATAATCGATCCGATGGTAATTGGTCGCCAGTTATTGATGTCCATTTGGCGCTCCGGCAGAGATGATTTCGATATTAACACAGTCCGACATTCTTTCACCACGTCCGGTACGATGCCAGTCACCAGCCATAGATTGAATACTTCCATTAACTGGAGAAAATGGGGGTCTATCTTAATGATATCCCGCAGACTTAGTCTGTCTGGTCCTGGCGCACTGTTCTTATTCATCTCTTGGATGTTTTTAGAGATTTCTTTTGCCGTGATCATGGCCTCGAATGCCGAGTTGTCCGCCAGCCCCTTGGATCTGAACGCTCCCAGGCCCTTGAATGTTCCCGGTGACTCCCATCTCGACTTGAACACGTTGTGTATCTCGTCTTGTGGGATACCACACTTCAGGGATTCCACGTCATCCAGAATAATACCGGCCAGTTTCCCCCTATCCAGGTAGAACAGCCGCTGGAACCGTAGGAACTGCCCCCGTTTCACAGCTCTCTTCTTCATCCACCCCTTTGGTGGTTCCGAAGGCCGAGCAGTTTGGGCCACTTGACGCGGTCGACCCTGGCCCGCTTTCAACTCAGAGGACTTAAAGGCAAGGCATGCGAAACAGTCTTCCATTGCCTTATCAGCAACTGTTGTTAGATCTTCTTCCCCTTCGATCACCCGCTGAAACATTCCATGGAGAATGGACAATTTTCCAGATGTTACCCACTCAGAGATTGTCTTCCGGTAATGGGACCTCAGTCCCCCCTCCATCTCTGATCCAACGCACACAAGATGTTCCCCTTCCGCAAGGTGTTCCCCTTCCAATTCTAGATGTTTCTTCCGACCTTGATCTTTTCCCTTCTTCACCGGGCTCTTATGAAGGTCCCGTCTTTTGTCACTTATCTGTTTCGTTGTCTTGGTCGGAATATGCTCTGCAATCAACTTGTTGATGTTTTTCTGCCCCTCATATTGTTTATCCAGCTTTCTCAATAATTCAACCTCATCCTCGGTCCAGCACCGACGATGCGCCCCTCTCATATTTGTACCTGTCTTAGGGCGAGCGACGGTAATCCGCTCGAGATTTCTTGTGACTGGATGGACCAAGCGCTTATGCTGCCCCAGGCCGATTTTTGTTTCAAATGTTTTCTCACAGACCTCACACCTCCAACTCCTCTCGGGAGAGGCTTCCACAGGCCCCTTACACTTAGGAAAATGGCAAGCAATACTATGGTGTTTTACATCAGTTCTCCCACACCGAGCGCATTGGAATAAGATCTTTTTCTTCCCATGCGCCCTTTTCAGATGTTCAACTAAACCCGACAGTTTACCGGTCACATTACCGCAACACGGACATGATGTATTCTTGTCCGGGATCTTCACCACAGGAGTGCTCTCTGCTGGGAGATCGTCACGGGATCGTGAGACCGGAGTCGATGGCACTGGAGAGGTCCCAGCCACGGCTCCGAGAGGTGAGGACTCCTCCTCTTCGTTCTCGTCCTCCACCGGAGTTGGACAGGTGTTCTTGTCCCTGAGACTAAAAGAGTTAGGTACCTCATACACCTCAGGAAGCACGGCCAGGAGGTCACTCAGGGTGGGAGATTGTTGGCTTTTTAGACCCTCCAAATCAGAGTTAACAAACTCCAATCCCCTTATTTCAAATCTCCCTTCCAGCAATCCCCCAGGTTTGTGGTCTCGGATGGAACGAGAGACCGCATTGTCACGCAAGTCCAAAGGACTTGTTTGTGTGGCCACCGACACGAAGGAAATTCGCATCGGCCGACCCATTTTGCCAGTCCAGATAGAGGAGTAGTCTAAGTCAAACAACACCCCCTCAAGTGCTGTGTGACTGAGCCCAACTGTGCCCGTAGGCGAGGCTTTGGGCAGCGACAAGGAATCGGTGCCAGGAATTTAGATCACCAAGTCGAATCTATCGAATGGTTGGTGAGGCCAGACGATAGGGGGGAAGTAGCTATAATTCCCACACTGGGGCAGAGGTTAACTTGGTTACCCCGAAGGGCATCCAGCGGGACCACGAGGAGGTGTAACCTCTGCAGCTCTGCCCAGTTAGTAACTATGATCCCGTCTTAAGAGAGTCATAGTTACTCCCGCCGTTTACCCGCGCTTCATTGAATTTCTTCACTTTGACATTCAGAGCACTGGGCAGAAATCACATCGCGTCAACACCCGCCGCGGGCCTTCACGATGCTTTGTTTTAATTAAACAGTCGGATTCCCCTGGTCCGCACCAGTTCTAAGCCGGCTGCGAGGCGCCGGCCGAGGCGGGGCGCCGGCCCGGGGACCCCCCCGGGGACCCTCCCCCGCGGAACCGCGCGCCGACGCCGGCCACGGCCGCACGCGGGTGTTCGCGCGCCCCGCGTGAACCCTCCGGCCCCCCGCCGCTGGGTGCGGACCGAAAGG